ACGACCACGACGACCACGACGACCACGACGACCACGACGACCACGACCACGACCACGACTACGATTACGACTACGACTACGACTACGACTACGACTACTTCTTCTACTACTACTACCACCACCACCACCACGACTACTACTACTACTACCACCACCACCACCACCACTACCACTAAGTTCCTCTCCATGCCATCATCACTCCTGTCAAGCAAGGGGAGGTGAATCGGAAGCCCCACAATTTGGAAGTATCAAACGACTCACCGTGATCGCCGCCAGCTGCGGCCTGTAGACCGTCCGGCCTCAGGCGGGGCTGATGCCGCTGGCGGTTCCCCGGCGGCTGACACTCCGGACCTGGGCCCCTTACGGCGTGGCAGGCCCAGTGTCTGGGCCTGCAGGACCCTCACGGTGGTGCCAATGTACACCACGCGAGCGCCGCGTGGCCTCCAAGGTGGACTCCACTGCATGATAGTTCAAAGCAAGTTTGTGCAAAAAGCAAGACCCCTAGTTTCATAGCACCGGGCTGGGTTAGATCAAAGATCTCGGGATACTCTCGCCCAACTCTTTCCTCACTCTGTGGGACACTCTGGCAGGACACTCTTGTAGGACACTCTTCTAAGACACTCTTGTGGACTCTTGCGCAACACTCTTGCAAAACACTCTTGTGGGACACTCACGTACGACGACCCGCTACCCGTAGTACATTTGTACTACCAAGTGGCCCTGCTTCCCGCATCCCTTGTCTGCCAAAAGCTGCCATCTGCATTTGTACTACCAAGTGGCCAGTTCTGAGGCCGCAGCTAAAATTGCCAGTTCTGAGGCGCGAGGGACCAGAAGCCGCTTCCCATACTACTGCTTCCCGCAATACATGTGTGCTACAAGTTGCCACTTCTGAGTGGCCCTCACTCTTCTATACAACACTCTTGCGGGACACTTCTATAAAACACTCTTGTGGGACACCCTTCTACGACACTCGTAGGACACTCTTGTGGGACACTCTTGTAGGACAATCTTGTCGGCCACTCTTGTCGGAAATTCTTGCGGAAAAGTCTTGTGGGACACTCCTGTAGGACACTCTGGCGGGAAACTCTTGCGGGACACTCTTGTAGGATGCATTCTTGTTGGAAACCGTTGTGGGACACTCTCGTGCACTGTTGGGCGTCGCAAGCTGCAAAAATTCTGGACCCATTCAAGTTGCCCCTTTTGGGGGGGAAAAACTCTCTGCCCACGACGCTCGGCGCTCTCACCACTCAAGGCCATTAATTGTGGTTCCCACACTAGCATTCAACAATCACGAAACCCTCAGTTTGCGAAAATCAATCAACTCAGCGTGGTCGCCTCCTGCCTCGCCGCATACATACCCCGAGAGAAACTTGATATGCCGCCCGTCAAGTCTCAAGTTTGAATTCAAGTGAAACCAAAAGCCACAGTAGAACTGGATGGCATCGGCTGCAGCCATCGGCCGGCAGGGAATGGTGCTCCTGGATGGGACTAGAAGCCACCGCGACCATGCTGCTTAGCTACTAGGCATGAATGACATGAATGAAAAATGATTGCAAAACCCTCAATTTGGGAAAATCACTCGATTCACCGCGATGGAGGCAAGCCTCGCCGCGTACTTGGTGCGGCCTTGGGCGCGGCAGGATCCGGCCGGCGAGAAAGAAAACCCTTGAGCCATTGGGAACCTAAACCTGCAACCTGTCCAGCGTGGAGGACGGAGGGAAAGCTCCACATTTTGACGTGTTTCGAAGGTCTCATCAAGATGGTCGGCAGCCTTGGCGCGTACAATGTCCGACCTTAGCTGCGGCCAGCACGTCCGTTTCGCGGGCAACACGATCTAGCAGGCGTGATCTAGCGCCATGGACATCTCGCAGCGGCATCCTGCGGCACTCTGGAGACCGGTCCGCTCACAAGACCCCGGAAAAACGGGCGCATGCGCGGGCGCATGGCCGGGGGTATCTACACCTCACGCGGCGGGGGAGGCCCAACGTGCGGACGTGTAGTACGCGCACCGTGGTGCCTACGTAGACCACGCGTCGTGCGGTCCTGAACATTCCACAAGGAAGATCTACTAAGATCTTTACTTGGGTTCGGTGACTGGGGAATATGGGTCTAATGACAAGTGACATGGTCGGTGGGAATGGTGTAGGTAATCATACTTCTGCTTCCTAAGGTCTCACCAAGATGGTGGGCAGCCTTGGCGCGTACAATGTCCGACCTTAGCTCGGAAGCCCGCGGCCAGCACGTCCGTTTCGCGGGCAACACGATCTAGCAGGCGTGGTCTAGCGCCATGGACATCTTGCAGCGGCATCCTGCAGCACTCTGGAGACCGGTCCGCTCACAAGACCCCGGAAAAACGGGCGCATGCGCGGGCGCATGGCCGGGGGTATCTACACCTCACGCGGCGGGGGAGGCCCAACGTGCGGACGTGTAGTACGCGCACCGTGGTGCCCACGTACACCACGCGTCCTGCGGTCCTGAACGCTCCACAAGGAAGATCTACTAAGATCTTTACTTGGGTTCGGTGACTGGGGAATATGGGTCTAATGACAAGTGACATGGTCGGTTGGAATGGTGTAGGTAATCATACTTCTGATTCCTAAGGTCTCACCAAGATGGTGGGCAGCCTGGGCACGTGCAACATCCGACCTCAGTTCGGACAAGCACCCGGCCGGCCTCAGCGTGCATGGGTTGGTTGCGTGGGGCGCTTGTAACTCATCGAAAGACCCCAGCATAGACCCACATATAGTGGGCAGCACCTATGAGCACTGTGTTTTTTAAATTTGGCGTAGACGTGATCTAGCAGAGGCACCAGTATCCAAGCTCTAAAGCGCGCACGACCATACACATATCTGGCACCACATCCTGCACCCATTCTGCAGCGGCACCAGCGCCCAAGTTCCAAAGCGCGCGCCCACTATCCGGAAGGCATCCTGGAGCCGCCTTGCAGCGGCGCAACAGCACCCTTGTGGGCCATACACACCTGGCCGGCACCAGCATACAAGCTCCAATGCGCACACAACAATACCCCAGCACACGGGCACACGGAGGCACGCGTGCACCGAGGCACGGGCACAGGGACACGATGTTGATGATGATGCGTTGACGGGCATGACGACGGTGATAGGACACACACGCTCTTTGGTGATGATGATGATGATGATGATGATGATGATGATGTTCACTCTAATGGTGCTATGTTGGCAGTGCTCATGAAAAAATGACGATAAACAAAGTTGACGGTGGCGACGATGGTGTAAGTGTATTTTGCTTCCACAAGACGACTCTAAAGTGACTTTCAAGAAAGCTCACGAGAGCACACAAAAGTATTTGATCCAAGGATTCTTGTACAGCGACATGTCCATTACAGTGTATATTCCATTGCATTTCCCGTGGCGCAGCCTCTGAATATCGGGGGTAATGTTGAAGATGACCGTGATGATTTCGATGGTGTTGAGGATTTCAGTTGCAATGGTGGTGATTATGATTATATGATGATTACACTAAGTGCAACCAAACGGTATTTCCAGGCCAGGCGGGCACACAACCTCCTGCTCGGGCACAGCATGTACCCCGGCACCATGGCAGGTCTTCAGCGTCTAAGCTTCAAAGAGCACACAGCCATGGACATCTAGCAGCGGCGCCAGCACACAAGCTCCAAAGCGCAGCAGCATCCTGCGGCATGAACACCCACAGCCCCCCAAAGCGCGGCACACGCACATCTTCCCTCTCGCTATATAGAGAAAATCAGCAGCAATTCAGAATGATCACAAACACCGATGATGTCGTCACTATTGGGCCAAGGCCAAGGTCCGGGTTGACAGAACTCGGACGTTGGTGCCTACGTACACCACTCCACCGTGAAAAATCGACTAACATCTATACTTGGGTCCCGTGACTTTGGAAATATGGGTCTGGTGACATGGCCGGTTGGAATGGCGTGGGTCATCTGAGATACTTCTGCCTCTGCCATGTTGTCCGCTGACAAGCTGGCTGGTGTGAAATGCACTGTGGAGTTTCAACTTCAACAGCGATCAGAATGATCAAACACCATACTACACGCCGTCTACGCGTGGCAGGCCAAATACTAAACTCTAATGATCGTTCCCGACGCAGACCACGCGGACGGACATATTGACCGAGTTGGAGTGGTCGTAGCGGTCAATGTAGATGGTCCGTTGGCCATTGCAGTTGTTTCGTTGGACCCCTTGCGCACGTGTGGCCGCCATCCCTCGCGTGTAAAGGATCGCGTTCATGGAAACAAAAGGATTAAGGGGGTCATTTACCCTGTTGCTTCAAGTGAATGAAATGAAATCTCATGCAGCATCCTTTCCTCCGTACAGTGCCTTATTGGATAAAATCTACAGTTCTATGAATTTATGGCCCTTGCCCTTTGCAGGCTAAATTAACTAAGTGAAATTGTCCAATCAGCATTTTGAACACATTTTTATGCAATGCGGAACGTTCCTAGCCGTATGACTCCATAAGTGTTTGTTTTCTACTGTAGTCATTTCTCCGTGTGGAGTCTTTTTGCGAAACAGAATCTATACAAGGATAAAAGAGTCCTGGAACGTTCTCCTTGAGAAAAAAAGACCAAGTCCTGCAGCTGCCACCTTCCCAACCTACTCCACCAGTTCATGGTCAAACATGGTCGGGCCTGAACTCCATCTCTTCCCGTCCCATCCGGTCCCATCCCGTCCCACTCTTTCGCGCCCCGCACGGGAAAACGAAACGACCTCGATCGACCGCCACATGGCCTTCATCTGGTCAAACATCACTCCAGGACTGTTGGGGCAACGGGCGTGCTTCAACCTGAAACAGAGGTCGCCACGACCGGAAGAGGACGGAAGAACAGGCCTCAGAGTGGTCCGGTGGGTCCCATGAGGGCCCGTTGGCGGGGTTTGCTTGCGCTTCCGGGACTTTTGACAGCGATTTTGCCAGCAACTTGCCAGAAGGCCGAAGGTTGAGCCTTAACAGAGGAAGTAAACATGCAAGGAAGAGTGGCAACATGTCGACTGCCATCTCATTTTTGGGGGCAGCAAACCTTCTTTCGCATCCATCCACCTCCATCCACAGCATCCGAACCGGAAGCCTCCCATTTTCCCGGCCTGTGGTCTCTCAGCATGGAATAGGACTGATAGGAGCCGCCTATGGAGTCGGACCATGTTCCCGATCGCGCGCTCCCCCCCCCCCCACACCATCGAAGGCAGTCTTGAGTCATGGCATGGCTCCAAGCAGCTTCGAATCAAGCACCGGCTGCTCCGAGTGCTCAGCTAGCAGTACATCCAAAAGGTCGAGCGAACCAAGGAGAACCAAGGAACATTGACACTGCCCGACAAATCTGCACATTCGAGCCCTCTGAAGGTGGGAAGCAAACATGCATTGCCACCATATCTATACCTGAAATGTTTAGGACTTGGGTGCAAATGTGTGACGCAAAAACACCCAAAACCAAAAATTACACCACCGTAGACCCCAAACAGTTTGTGTTTTTCAACATCGAAACTAGAGCTTGGACAAGGGATTGCGCAAGGCAGAGGCGGCCACAGCAGCCCAGAGCTGGGAGACAAATGTAAAGGGTTGCAAGGCAGAGACGGACACAGCCGTACAGAGCAGGCGGACATATCTTAAGAAAAGAATTGAGAAGCCCTAAACCTTTTGGGGAATTATTCTTCAAGTGCGAACATGATGCTGGTCATGCTGCTCAATCAGCGGGGAGCTGACCACGTGAGGACAAGAAACAAAAGCATGAGGAGCGAAGGATGTGACATGAAATTGATTTTTGGTGCCTGACGTATGCCCTCCGTCCCAACTGAACAGAGAGATCGCTGCCACGCCGCCGAAATCCAATCCGGTCATTCATCCAACGCTTGCCCGAAAAGGAAAACAAAGCTGAGAG